CAGACAGAGAGCGCAGAGCTGGAATAAGAACTCAAGCAGTGTGACTCCAGAGCCTGTACCCTCACCCACTAGGCTAGTCCGTTTCTCATGTGTAGCATCTGTCACCAGCCAGGGCAGAGCATTCACACCTGTGGGAACATCTGTCTCTTCAGACTCATGGAGCTTCCATCTCTTTGGCCATTTTAGTTACTTTCCTCACCTCCATTACCATAGCAGGTGGGCCAGGTAGGGAGTCTACTGTCCCCCAGCCTTTCTCTGGAATGCTCCTGACTCATAGGTTGGCATGCTTAGCATCACCTGACCTTGACACCCTGGCTACAGGTGATGCCATATGGAATGGCAGCTTGACCTAAAGACTAGCAGCTGCTGCCCGGCAGCTATGAGGTGTGAATGCTCTGTCCAACAAGAGTACTGTGCCTTGGCTGGGGACAGGCTGAACTGATCAGACCTTATCTCTTAAAGAGCAGGAAGGTAGGGTTAAGGCACAGAACTGTGCTCATCATCAGAGGAGGCAGCGACAGATGCCCACTGCTTATGGCCAGATGAGATAATCTAGTCACTAACAGTGAAAAACAGTCCAGCGGCTGAACTGGCCTCCATGGGGTTTGGCTCTGAGGCTCAGATGGTTTCTTATCTTCCTTACTTCTCTGTGAGTTCTTAAAATAAACTTCTAGTGAATGAGCAACACGGGTGGGTCTCTGTCCATGTTCCCTGGAAGGGACAAATAACCCTCCTCAGTCTGTGTCACTCCAGGCGCAGCAACTGGCTCAGCCGGTCACCCTCCAGCACCCATGTCAGCCAGGAGTTTTACAGTTGTCCATTTCACTGGTCCCCCGCTAGAACTAAGATCTGTTTCCCAAAGGGAGACCTAGGATCCACTTGGGCAGATTCCTCGGGTCCACCTCAGACCTGCTGAATCAGAATTTCTATGAGTGATGCCTCAGGGTTACATGTACCCAAACTCCTCGGATGCCTTTACTCCCAAGTGATTTTTATGGATCCTGAAGTTTGAAAACAATGGCCCTGGAGAGCTGCTTTTGAGTCAGATCCTCGTTCATCCCGGGTCCTACCAAAGTGGTGAGCATGCATTCTATACAGAGTGAAGAACCCATGTTCTGTTGGGGGCATGGAGGTGGGGAGCATTGGGCCACAGCAGCCAACACCTGCTGATATGTTTTAGGAACCGATTACACCTGAAATTGCAAATGCCATCCATGAGCTGAATCTGCAGATTGTAGAAGTATTGTTTTTTAAAGATTTTGGGCTATGTGCCAACCTACACGATCAGAAGATTTCATACACATACAAAATCTGATTTCCAACTTTTCCTGAAAATCTGCAAGATATAGTAGCACTGAACGTTCATTCTGTTTGGCAACAATTGACTGTTGCTGAATAGCAGATGCCACCTTTAGGTGGAGCTTGAGAGACCCCGTCTACCTCAGGGGCCCCTTGCCCACTAGTGTCTCCAAATTTGAGGCTGTGTCAGTGGTTCAACAAAAATGGCAGCAAGCACATTTCTTGGTGGATATGAAGAGTATTCATTCATGTTTAACAGGTCAACTTTGTGACTGTCTTGAAAACAACACAACTCAAGATGGTTCCCTTTACTCATGCCTGATGTGCGCCTGATCCTGAAGGCGTTTGAGTTGGGACCCTGGATACTGACTCCCAGATGCCTCCGTGGGGCTGTAACTGGAATCTGAGGGTCCAGCATAAAACCAGATAATATTAGAATCTGATTGTGGACTGCAACATCTTCCTTGGATAGAAGGAGAGATGGGAGCCCAGAAAGAGGAGGCGCCTTCTGGAGGTCACCCAGGAAGTGGGGCATGGCCAGGGTGCCATCCCAGCCCTCACTCCAGCGCACCATCCAACCTTCCCATTCTTCAACTACAGCTGGCACTGTTTCCTCCAAGTTTTCCTTACACTTGGCCATACCATTTTTTTCCTGGGTGTTTACTATATTCTAAGTCCAATGCTAACTAAAGTGTTTTACAAATGTTATCTGATGTAATTGTCATCCCTGTCTGACAAATGAGAAAACTAAGGTTTACAGAGTCACTTTGCTTATTAGTGGAAGAGAAGGGGTCTGAATCCAGGTCCGGGCACAGTCAGAGCCTTCCCCGCTGTGCTGTCTCAGACTGACTAACCCATCAACTCTGCCAGGGAGGTACCATGCTGTTCCCATTTTATAGATGGAGAAAGCAAGAGGGTAAGTGGCTTGCCCAGGATCACACAGCCGGTAATTGATACAGTCCAGACTGATATCTGGGTCTGGCTCCAGAGCTGGGGTTATAAACCGTGGCCTCATTTGTTGCTCTTCTGCACCTCATGGAACCACTTGAGACCTTCCAGCAGTTCATTTGCATTTCTAGGTCTGTAATCACCCTATAGAACTTAGTATCATATGTAAATTTGGGTGTGTAGAGGGGGCTGGGTCCATTCTGTGTCACACTGAGTGTACCTGTGTAGTTTTGTGATCCTGCAACATTCTGTGCCAAATACAGTGAGCGGCAGCCACAGTGTAGACCCTCAGGTGAAGGGACCCCCATGAATGGAGAATCTGAGCCTGCAGACCAGAAGGGACTTCTCCAGTGTCACACAGTGAGTGCCGACTCTCCAAAGACTAGAACCCAAACTCTCCAGAGCCCAAACTAGAACATGGGGCCCAGATGTGTTTCTGCACCACCCTTTCTCTTTCCAACACGCAATGCTATTTCCCTCCCATTCCAATTTAATCAGTAAAATGCTGTGATGCCCGTCTATTATCTTTATTTCACTTTCTACAACATGATGGCAGTGACCTTATGTCTTTGTTTCACTTTACGAAAGATGAGGCCATGACCTCTGATCACTCAGAATCCCAACATCCCAGAAAGGGAACCCTTTATCAGTGGTCTTAACACCGTGCTCCTAAGAACGCTGAGATTTCCTGTAGGCACTTCTGAGATTTTGAAAACAATAGCATCTTCGCCACCAAAGAATAAAGATTCAAACTGACTAAGGAACATGTTAATCACTCATTTAAAAATATATTTTATATACTGAGGTTTAGTGCAAGACATCATTTTAATGAAAGAGTTCTGCTTCTAAAAAAGATAGCAAATCTCTTTTTCTAAAATGTCATGAGTCATTGAGCCTGTAGGATACATCTGCCCAGAGGTAGAAAGTCATCATGGATCAAAGTCACATATCCCAGCAAAGTGAAGGAAGCCACATCTTCACCTTGGGCTAACCTAGTACCCTGCTGAAAGGTGATCCTGCCCTCCCAGCATCCCCACCTCTCTCTGTTGGGACAACAGCAGAGTTTCCCTTGTCCCTGCTGGGCACACGTTGACCTGCCCTGTCTTTGCAGTGCAGGCCCTGGAGTGCCCAGCTGTCCCTTGGCAAGAGGGTCTGAGCTTGCTGGTGGCTCTTCATACTCAGGCTGGCCTGTAGGATTCTCTGCATGTCCACTCTGGGTTCGAGAACCCAGAGACCTGGCTGCAGATTCTGGCCCTGGGAATTAGGTTGTGGGGGAGACAAGAGTTGTGGGGGAGAGGGTGCTGTGAAGGTTTCTGGAAATGGAGCTACAGCTGATATTTCCTTCTCTGTGAGGACAAGAGATTAGAAAGGTCCGTTCACACAGGAACAAACTGAGGAAAGCAAACAGATGGAGCTGATATACACTCAGGCCTGTTACCCTCTGTCTCCTCTCCCCAGCGCCTCCCCAGCTCAGGCAGGCTGGCGCACACACACACACACACACACACACTCAGATTCAGACTTATTTTGGCTCAGCTGTAGTTCTTAATAAAGTAGTTTAACTAGTCAGGTCGGGTGTTCTGCTTCTCTGCCTCTCCAGCCAGCCTCACCACCTCTCCAGTTTGTCCTTTTCCACTGCAATAAATAACCACGGGCTTCTCCCCACTGCAGCCCTGCAGCCAGGCCTGGCCTCCCTGGCAGCTCCCCCAGCTCTGGACCCCTCCCAGTGCTCATCTCCTTGACACCATCAAGGCCAGACTCCATATCAGCAGATACTCGAGATCTCAGAAGTGCAGGGCTGGAGGGGGTCAGGTCATCCTCTGCAAGCCGGTCTTTTCACATGTGGGAGAGGTTGGGGCACAGTATCTCAGGATGAGGAAGTGGCAGCTCTATCTTCTAGGATCTCTGCATCAAGTTGGAAGTCTGTCTTAAATCCGATTTCACAAAAGGCAGCCCTTGGGCTGCGCCGGCCCCAGAGACATGTTTTGTTTGGTCCATGCACTGTGGGATGCTACAATATTATTTTATAATTTAAATTTAGAGTCGACATTTTAAATGGGAAATTTCAACCCCCAAAAGTCTAGATTTCTGGCTTCTCTTGAAAAATTGTAAGTCTGGCAACCTAAATTCCCATTCCCATGTGGCAGTAATCTGCTGAAGGTGAACAGCCACTGTGCCTTTTAGATGGAGAATGGGCTTAATGCATTTCTCTTTCCAGTTGAGCCCCTATAGGCATTCGTATTTGTAACTTTTGTCTTAAATAAAAATAATGAAATAATACGGATAATTGTTGATATATACTGAGCATTTGACCACTAGCAGACACCATGCTAAGGACTTCACATGTGTATGTTAATTCTCACTAAAGCCCTATGAGGTAGATTTATTGTCATTTTCATTTTATAGATGGAAAAGTAGAGGCTCAGATGAGTTAAGAGATTTGCCCAAGGTCACACACGTAAGAAGAAGCAGAGCCAGGATTAGAAATCAGATTTTCCCAACTCTATAAACTGTGCTGATTCCAAGGCCTACGTAGACTGCAGCCGTGGAGATGGCTTTCATGGAGGTAGCAAAATTTCTCCAGCGTTTATCTACACTTGGAGTCTCAGTCTCTGTTTCCAACAGCTAGTGGGATTTTGCCACTTGTACGTCAGCAAGAATTCACCAAATGGGGAATCTGAGTAACAGACAAAAGCAGACTTTGCATTATTCTCTTTTCCAGACCCCTACCCGCTTCTGCTTCTCCTCGTGACTTCTCTGCTGATGCTGCAGTGGCAGTCTCTCTCTCTTTCAATCAGCCATGTAGGCACTTACACTTCATCTCTGGGTCTCCCCTTCCCTGCCCATTGTTTTAAATCAACATCCAATGATACACCGAATCCTGTTCTTACTTTCTCAACGTTTGTGGTTTCAGATCTTTGTTTTCCATCTCCCTCCCACCTCACATCCACTCTGCAAGGCATTGCCATACTCATCTTCTTGAAGTATTGGTCAGATCGTGTTACTCCCCTCCTTAAAGACCATCCTTGGCTCTCCGCTGCCTGAGGCCGGCCGGCTCCCCTTCTCTGGCGTGGCCTTTGAGACGCTCTACAATATTAGCGAAACTTCTCCAGGCATAGCTTCCTGTAATTCCTCTTTACATTTCCAGCCAAACCAAACTATTACCAATGCCTCCTATGTCTAAATACTTGTCCCTTCTGTTTGGAATGCTCTGCTGCTCAGCTTTCCTTGTGGAATTTCACTCCATCTTTTAAGGTCTAGTTCAACAGCTACCTCCAGGAAGCCTTCCCTGAAGAAAATCCTCCCCCTCCATCTTCCCCAGCCAGGAAGGCAAACTCTCACCCTTTAACAACTATTTATGGGACATCTGCTATGTGCCAGGCACTGCGGATACTCATTCATGCATTCTTCCCACTTTAGGCAAATACTCCCTGAGCGCTTACTACGCAGCAGGCACTGTCCCGATATAAGAGATACAGCTCTCGCTGCCATGATATATCAGTGCAAAGAAGAAAACATAAAGCAGCTGATTCTGATTCATGGGGGCGGGGGGGCAGTGATAATAAACATGTGAGGAATGAACAGGGCCCACCAGGACCCCTGGCATCGAGGGATGCCTGCTGCAGAGATGTGCAGGCCTAGCTGGACCCGCCCAGGAGCAAAAGTTCAGCACCAGCCTCTGGCAATTCTGTGGCTCCTCCTGCATCCTGACTCTTTTGATGTTGATGGACACTGCAGCTACTGGGCCTTGTTTAGCTCTCTTCAAGGAAACGCAGCCATGAGAAGGATCTGTTTCCAGAGCCTGTGGATGCAGGAGCTCCCCATGGCTGGACGCTGGAGGCTCCGTCCTGGTGCCACACGCCCCACAGTCAGAGGAGGAAATGCAGAGCCGGACCACCCAACAGCATGGAACAGTGCAGCCAGTCAGAACAAAGCCTGCTGAGAAAGGCTACAGGGTTGACCTTTCCTTCTACCACGTCCCTCTGATGTCTGTTAGCAGGATTGCAAGCTTTAACTGCGATTTGCTCAGGTGGGCTGATTATGATGTGGAAATCATAGGCAGATTGGCTGCCTCCTTCGTGCTTCACTCACACAAGTCCCTCCCCGTGGAATGTCCACCCACTTTCCTCTCTGATGATGATGACGATGCTGATGAGGACCACGAGGACCATGCACTGAGGCTCTGCGCTAAGTGCTCTATATGATTGTTCTCATTGAATGCTCACATGCCATCCTTATCCCTATACTGTAGGTGAGGACACTCAGGCTTAGAGGGATTAAAAATTTGCACGAGGGCACACCAGGCACATGGGCGTGTCAGAATTCAAAGCCAATCAGACGCCAGACTCCAGAGCCCCTGTGTTTAACCACATCAGAGCATAGCCTTCCATGCTGTTAAAATTATACTCGACCCCAAGGCCTTATTCCAATATCACCTTTACTGTAAAACTTTCCTTGATTACCTTTTCCATCCCTGTACATAGCACACATAACTGCCCTGAGCAGTAGTTGTCACTCATTCATTGAACATTTATTGCATGTCCATTAGCTGCTCTTTGATGAATAACTCTGCCCCTCCTCTTGAGAAGCTCCCTGACCAGTTACCACAGGGCAAGATCAAAGCTACTATGTGGTATGTCTGGTGTGTTCATATTTATGTCTGTTTGAAGCAGTAGCCACCACCACTTCCAGGGCTTGATAAAGTCATAGGTCTTTTTCTATAGCCAGACCATCAAAGCCACCTAACAATTCAGGTCAGACATAAGGAAATTCAGCAAGCTGCAAAACAAGCAGGTGCAAAAATAGCAGGGAGTTCCACCAGGCAAAGCAGTGCTGGAGGGAGAGCATTTATAATTCTTGCCCCTCCCCCTGCAACAATCCTGCAGAGCTGAACTTCCGAGTCTTCTGAAGAGAAAGGAATGATTTACTTAAGCTGTGCTCAGTGTGATGCTAGTGATGGGGGCTTTTGCCAAGTGTTTACAAAGCACTTCAAGCAAAGCCCTGCTCCGTCCTCCAGGTGCCCTCATTCCAGCACCTCCAAGACTAACTGCCCAGGACCTAGAGGGAGCCAGGATTAGGCTGTGCCCTCTCAAATTCCCGAGCTCAGTTGCAAGAGAAGCCCTCCCCACTCCGGCCCCACCAAGCAACTGAATGGTATTTCCTTAGTCAATTCAAAGACACTGAAAAAAAAGGATGAGAGGAAATTTGCTGAAAAGTGCCCCAGGCAGGCTATATAGATTCTTCAGCCCTTTTGCCCAGTCCCTTCTCAAGAAGGGATCTCAAGAAAGATCTGACAAATTCTTAGGGATTCGATTGGAAGCAATCATTCTCAGCTTTTTTATAAAGCAAATGGACCTTTGAGAATCACAGCACATTTATAAAATTTCTCCCCACAAAAATCCCCCCTCTCTCACACACAACTTGTATACAATTAGAGGGTGTTCCAGGGCTTCCTCAAGTTCATCCAGGACCCAGAAGTTTGATGTCCCAAAGTCAGGATATGTCCCAAAGGGGATGATTTGCGGTGGTACGTGGACAAATATTGTTTTAAATTTTAATTCCTGAGTATTTATTTTAATATGTATTAAAATCATAATTAACACATCAAATCTGTGATCTTATAAATGTTTGGGGATGAGGCTAAACTAAAAAATTATGACTAGAATTAAAGTCAGTTTTAAGGGGAGCATTAAGTAAATAATCAACGTTTCATGGGACCTGTGTCTGGAGAAAGACTGGGAAGCAGTGCACATAAATGACCCATGTTTTGAATGCACTGTCCTAGTTTGTGGAATCTCCAATCTGATTCAACAATCTTATTGCACAAATGTGGACACTGAGGCACAGAGAGTTAAGCGACCCACCTAAGAGTTCCCAAGAGTCAGAAGCACCTTGGAGAAAGTCCCCAGGGGAGCAGATTCCCAGGCCAGTGTTCTTTCTATAGCACCATTAGTTTTCTTGCTGTCTACCTGTGCAGTTTTAACCTCAGAGGGCAAAAGAAATGAGTCTACCAGGGTTCATGCTGGGAGCAGAGAGAACCGGGAGTGACCTCAAACAGCTAGTTAGATCATTATCATTTTACAAGGGCTTTTACAAGTATTTTCCTTAGACTCTCTTCACTGCTTATACTTATAAATGAAAAAATGTTTCAAGATGCTTGTCATTCCTCCCACATTGTTCCAAGTTTGCCCGTGTTGTCTCAGGAAATGATTTGATATTCCCTGCCAAGGGTTATGCTATTTAGCTCCAGTCATAAGAGAGAATCAACTTTGTTGTGGGGCTTCTTTCAATTGGGGTTGACATTCTGCTTGCTGGTCTGGTTGCCAGATTGAAAACTAATGGTGTATAATTTAAAGATTTTCTTTGAATTCTCTGCCTGGGTCAGCTGCCCTAGGAGCATTGTTCTGGGTTCTGAATGCACCCCTTTAAGAGAGACAGGGACCAAGGGTAGTGTGGCCAGAAAGAGGATCAGGAGGATACTGCAGCCCGATGCAGAGGAGCCACGGCTGAAGGAACTGGCTTTGATTAGCTTGCAGACAGAAGACTCCAGGGGCCATTCCACGGTCACCATCTGCAGGTCTTTGAAGGGCTGTCGTGGGGCAGGGCAGGGCAGGACAGGGCAGGGCAGGGCAGGGCAGGACAGGCACGCCTTGTCTGCTTCAGGTCTACTTCGCTCCAGGCAGCAGAGTGGGTGGGTGGAACCGAGTGGGCGGGCAGGTGGGCACCTGGAGAAAGTAAGGAGGGGTAGGCAGCAGCTCCAGGTAGTTGTTGTCATGCGGGAATGCAGGCTAGAAATCTGAATTTTTATATGAAATCTGATGTTTAAAGGGTGGCAATACATTTCAAAAACGTTTGAAAACACTGTGTGGCCAAACAAAACACATCTGTGAGTCAGATCCGACCTATAGAGAACCATTTTGTAACTTCTACCTCTGCGGTCAAGGGTTATTTTGGTGTTTGTTCCTGGTTGCTGATCCTGTACTTGAGCCCAAGCATTGGCTCCCCCTTTTTGGGTTTTGGTTCCTGTGTCATGCTCCTGTGCTCAGCGTTCAGGGTACACATGGACTTAGAACAGCCTTTTCACCACTCTTCAGGGCAAAATGAGAAACTCCGAGGGTTGCAGTGGGTGAAGGGAGGGTCAAACAACGCCAGGGGAGCTGGAGGAGGTGGCAGTGTACTGGGAAATATCATTGATACAGAGGCAGGATATCCGAGTTCTCACGCCGCCTCTGCAATCTCCTAGTTGTGTGACCTGGAACAAGTACCTTCTCTGGCTTTATTTCTTCCTCTATAAAATAAGAGGTAGGATTGGATAGGATTCTGTGATTTTATGACAGTCACTCCTGCCCACCCTCAACCCCAACCCTGTAGGACTTCCGGGTCCCCATATCCTGTGTCCCTTTCTGCAGTGGATTTCCGCTAACCCTAAGAAATCCTTCTGCAGAGCCAGCCTGGGTCAAGTCACCCCCTTCCTGCCACCTTAGGGATCTCTCTGCTTGTAAGGTCTTCACTATTTTCTCTACCTGCTAACTCCTACTCATCCACTCCCTGGGCAAGCTTCTCCTGACTCCAGGCCAGGTCTGTTCCCCGGTCACATGCGCCTTTCCATCAGAGTACTCGCTATAGTGGCACTACTCATTTATTTGTGATTATCAGATTAATGTCTGACTGGTTTAGACTATCCTCCTGGTCTCTTTCAACCCTGATATTCAGTGATTCTAGGATAACCAACTAACGAGGGGCAGAGCACAGAGCAGCAGTTCTCAAGCTTTATCTTACCCCACGCACCCAAGAGATTACAACATACACCCAGCATGAACTGGGCATTGGGCACTGGATTCAGAAATACTCATATAGAGGTGAAGAGCACAAAGCAGGTCTTGACATTTTCCCTGCCGCGTGTTAGCTGTGTGACTTTTCAGACAAGCCACACCCAGCCTCACTTTTCTCATCTGTAACGTGGAAACAATAGCTGCCCCAAAGGGTCCTTCTGAGAAACACTGAGTTAAATTACTTAGCTACTGTCAGGCATGTAGCAAGCATGGAATACATGGAAACCATAAGAATATTTTCAAATTGCAGATCAGAGCATCTTTAGGTACAAATCCTAGCTAGAGATTCGGATATCTGCTCTCTCCACCAATTAGCACCTCCTCTCCACCAAAGGACCAAGGGAGACATGAGGCCAAATCAATGGTTCTCAACCGAGGGACATTTTTCCTCCAGGGGACACTTTGCAATGCCTGGAAACATTCCCAGTGGTCACAATGTGGGGCAGGGAGCTGCTACTGGCATCTAGTGGGCAGAGGCCGGGGAAGCTGCTACACACTCTACAATGCATGAGGCAGCCCACAACAGAGTTATCTGGTAGAAAATGTCAAGAGTGGGCTGCATAGTAACAAAGGCACACAGACAAAATAATTTCGTGAGGTTTGACTTAAATATAAAATATATATGCATACATATAGATACACATTATATATGTGTATATACATTGTATGTAGACGGACCGTATGCTGTACACTGAATGTATATGTATATGGATCTGGTAAATCCTAAAGTCCATGTACATACAGTCAACTGAGAGCTACAGAGACAAAGCCATGGCACAGACTCCCAGCCACGAGCCAAACTGACTCACCCACCGGAGGCTGATTTACTGAAATGGGAAAGTAAGCATTTGATCTACGCACAACTCTTCAGAAAAGTAAAGCTTCAAGGAAGCTGGGGTATCCCTAGTGTCCTCTACAGCGTGATCATGAAGCATGACATACATTTGTGCCCACGCCCTCTTCCTGCCTAAGCTTTCCAATACCGAGCAATTCCCGTCTCTCGGAAGCTCTTTAGGAAAGTCAGAGGCCAAGAGGTTGCAAGCAGCAGGGCACGTGGCATGGGGCGGGCCGGTGTGCTGTGCCCCTAGCCGGCCAGGCCACCTAGAATGACTCACTTTTCCCTCTATGGTTTTAATTCCCTCATCAGTGAAATGAGAGTGTGGAGTGAAAGGACCTTGTAAGTGTTCTTTGCGTTCGGGCAGTGCTAATGATTAGCGAGGCAAGATTGGAATTCCCGCATGGAGGGCCTGTTCTCCCAGCCACCGTGGGAGGCAGGAGATCATAGAGGTTGGGAACACGGGCTTGGGAGTTAGAGAATCAGACACGCCTAAGGTGGAAATCCTAGCTCCTTCTCTTACTTCTACATAACTCTTGGAAAATGACTTAAACAGGAATAGTAATACTACTTACCTCAACAGGTTGATGCAAACTTAATAAGATATTGTTTGAATAGTCTCTGACACAGAGTAAGCACTTGATAAATAGAAGCTGCTATTATCATTATTATTACGGGGTTTTAGGTGATGGTGGTGGTGATGGTGTAATTAAGAAATGGTCTTTACACTGGAAGAATTTACAATCCAGATAAGTGATACAGAGAATGATGAAGTGCTAAACAGAGGCATGGCCACTGAGATGCAAACTGGGGTTTGCATTTAGGAAGGAGAAAGCAACCCCACCCCAATGGAGAGATCAGAGAAGGCTTTGTTTGGTGGAAAAGGCAGGGTGAGGGGTGGGAGCGTTATAGGATATGCTGGGAAATTCCCTCATCTAAAATGTTTTCTGGATTCTAAACACCCTCACCTTTACTGTCCTAAGCAACGATTAAATGGGACAAGCATGTTCTCTCTGTGGTCCACATGGAGCCTAGCTGTCTGTCGAACAGATGGAGTCCATAAATACCTATGATCTGCTCAACCCCTCTGCCAAAAGGAACAGGAAAGAAAGGAAAAAAATACATTCTGTGTCCAAAAAGAGTACTTGGTGGCAGCACACAAATGCATAAAAGAAAAAAACAAAACAGAAAAAAGCAGGAAAATTCATGGTGCCTCTTCTAACCAGGAATTCAGATGGGATTTTAAAGATTGAATGTTTTCCACATAACCCTTCTGTTGCTCTGCAAGGTTCACACAAGCTGTGTGTGCCCAGCCACAACCAGGGCTCTCACGGAGCAAAGCGACTTCTATAGGGAGAGAGGAGCAGAGAGGAGTAAGGATGAGAGGCCAAGGCAATGAGGCAGGTCCCACACAGTAGAACAGAACCACAGACTTGGTGTTGCAGCCCAGCCTCCTCCTTTTAAAGAAAGAGCGAGCTAGGGGGTAGGGCAAAAAGTCCTGGACTTGGTGTGAGCAGACGGGGCTGCAGTCCTAGCTTACCTGTTGTGGTATCCTCTATTGTACAGGTTGCAATGGGATTCAATAGGAAGTCACAGGGAAACGGACTACTGTAAAATGCTCCATATGTGCTCCATATGACACGAAGATACTATTGTTGTTGTCATTTTCAGAGATGAGGAAACTGAGGCATAGAGGGGCAGGTCTTTGTCCAGGCCCAGGACAGTAAATTAGTGGCAGAGCTGAGAGGAACTTTCCATCTTCTCAGGCCACATGGGCAGGTTGCAGGCAGGGCAGGGCCACCTGAAAAGGCAAGACCTTCTGCTCCAGCCACCGAAGCCGCCCAGAGGCTGGAGCTGATAAACACCGCCAAAGGCATATCCGGTGCGCAATTCAGTGGCCCCAGTCCGCTCCGCCACGGAAGCTCGGAAGCTCGCAGGTTTGTTGTGGGAAGCCCTGGGGAGGAAGAGCTTGGGAGAATGTGGGGGAAATTGAGCCCGCCAAGAGACATGAAAAACACATTAGCTGGTGTGAAGGGAAGAGGACGCAGAGACACATCCATAACTTCAACGTTTCCGTCATTGGCAGCACAAAGGTAAAAGTGACCTTCTGCAGGGTCAGCCCAAATCCAATTAAGCAAAGGGCTTTTGGACTTTTTCTTTGTCAAAACTTCTGCACAGGGGCCGGCCCCTTGGCACAGCGGTTAAGTGCGTGCGCTCCGCTGCTGGTGGCCTGGGTTCAGATCCCGGGCGCGCACTGATGCACCGCTTGTCAGGCCATGCTGTGGCGGCATCCCACATAAAGTGGAGGAAGATGGGCATGGATTTTAGCTCAGGGCCAGTCTTCCTCAGCAAAAAGAGGAGGATTGGCATGGATGTTAGCTCTGGGCTGATATTCCTCACAAAAAAAACCCAAAAAACAAAAAACTTCTGCACAGACAGTGGCGGTGACAAAATCACTGCAGTGCAGGGGCGCAGAATTTCCACAGCTTGGCTTCCAGGTTGGTCAGTAGAAACCAACTTGCATGACTTTGGGGATGGTGGTGGGGATGGGGAGGCTGTAGTCTAGGGACAAATTTCCCAACCTTTTGAGTCAAGAGGCAAGGATGCAGGGTGGCTTCCGTGCCAACTGGCTGTGGTTTGCTGAGCAAAGTAATTGCCCTACTTGAGTCTGATTCCTCAGCAAGGCATCTGGATAGATGGGAGGAGTTATGAGGTCGTTTCTAGGGCTAAAAATGTGAGGGACATAGGAGAAGAAGGGGAGAGCACAAACATTTATTGAGTAGCACTAGTTCCCAAGTACCAGGTTACATATTTTACATATATTATATACTTTAGCCTTTAAGGTTTCCCATTGAGGACTGTGTTATTGTTTCTAGTTTAGATATGAGGAATCTGAGGCCTGCAGAGGTTTCAGACTCATCTAGGTCACTCAGCCGATGGTCACAAAGTTAGGATTCAAAGTCATGTCTATTGTTCTTCAAAGACCATGGTGAAATAGTGGTAATTGATATTTTTGCCCCCTGAAAATTATGCTGTCATAGAACGTGCATTCTTTGTTTCCCTCATGAGCCTGTCCCATGTCCTAGCTCTGGATATTTTAGGGGAAAGATCTCTGACTTTGGAGATGGGACACAAGAGATGCGTGCTGGAGCTGGCTTACGCTGTCTCGAAAGAGTAGATTGTGCACATCTTTCTCAGCTCCACTCAGCTTTCTCAGTGATGTCCCATTGATAGCTTCGACTTGGCCATGGTAGGAGTATTTCCACCACGGAAATAGGCACACTACAAATCCGGGGCTACCCTCATCACCAAGAGCTGGCTTGCTAGCACTCACTGGATGTTGTCTCATCTCCATCACCAGCTGAGAGAATAAGCTTTTAGAAACCTGTAAGGTACTTTGATGTTGCCATGACATCCAAGTACATGAAGAGTGGCCTTGTCTTGTTGAGCTGGGCTAGACTGGTTGGGTGTTGGTAAGAATAGCATGACCTGGAATGCCAACAGAGAGGATGGAGACCCAGGCTCCTTTCAGTAGGATAGGGCCTACTGTGTTTTTACCAAGTTCCCCCAGGAGTCTGATACCCATCACAGTTTGAGAACTGCTGATCTAAACTAAAAACTGGGAATAGGAATCCCTCCCTTGACCTTCCTCATGAGGATGATTGACATCAGCATGAACAAAGTCAGATCTTGAAAAGGAAGGTGCAGTATAAGCACCACACGAAGGCCCCATCTCCTTGCCTGTAAAATGCAGATAATTCTGCCCTTGCCCGAGGGTTATCGAGAAGGTGATTCTGTAGTAATGATTTTATAAGTGGGGAAACTGTATAACATGTGGCATTGTGATGATAAAAATAGGAAGATGAGTTCTCCTTTGGCTCTACGTTCCTTGGAGTGCTGGGGAATACCTCCTTCCCCCTTCTGCTCCCACATCCTATTTTTGAACCTGGCATATTTGGGCCTAGGGATTAAATGACCAGTGGGGCCAAGAAACCTGTGTGACTGCCCTGCCTGACACTTCCCGGCACCTCTGCTCCTTGCAGCTGATCTGCCTCCTGCCAGTGCTGACCACTGGCCTCCAGCCTGGGCTGAAGAAACCCAGCAGCCCCCATCTCCTTTCCCAGAGTTACTTCTCAAAATCTGGCACTTAGCTTTTTATGTAGTGGCTGCCTCACCTCTGGAGGCCTACTTGGCTTTAATTTTAAAAATATCCCTTTCTTCCCTGTGTTCTGGAGTAGGGCCAAGGTGGCCCCCGCCAGTGACCTCTCCTGATGGGTACAGATGAAGTCCCTAAGCCTGTGGGCAGGGCCAAGCTTCTAGTGTGCACTTGCCGTGATCTTGCCAACTGACGTCCACTCTCTGGGTCTCTGCTTCCTCAACTGGTGTTCCCCAGCAGGGAGCTGTTGGCACTTTGTGTGGCATGATTCTTTATTGCCCTGGACATGCAGGAAGTTTAGCAATCCTGGCTCTCGGCCACTAAACGCCAGTAGCGTCCACTTTGTCACTGTGACAACTCCAAACACGCCCACACATTTCCAAATGGCTGTGGGGCTGGCTCTGCTCCAGAATTCTGTTCTGAAGAACCTCAGTCTCTTCATCTGGTAAATGGACCAGAGAGGCTCCCCGGAACCCGAGGGGCCTCACTCAGGAGCAGTCTCAAGAACTGCCTGGGGCTGGAAGGAGAGGGTACGTGTGTCTCTGCCCTGCTCACACCAAAGTTCTGCTTGGATTTGTTTACAGTCTGCCTGCCGAATCCGCAGGTTCCATGGATTCAACCAATTGTGGGTAGAAATTTCACAGATATGCAGCAACTGAATCAAATCTGCAGATGTGATACCTGCCGATACACAGGGCCGACTGCATTCATTGTACACACCGTTTTATACAAGGGATTTGAGCATCCATAAATTTTGGTATCTGCAAGGGGTCCTGGAACCAATCCCCCTGCAGATACTGAGGGATGACTGTAATCTAAAGTGGTTCTACAAAATAACTTATTTGGAGAATACCTCCTGTGGCTAAAAAAAAGTGTGAAAACCACTCGACAAGATCAGAGGTTGCTAAATGAGAGCCCAAGGGTCTAAAGTGCTCTGCATATGTGTTTTGTTTGGCATGGGATTTTAAGATATTTGGAGCTAACTTTTAAAAAAAAAAAATCTGGCATTTAGGTTTCTAGGGAAAAAAACAACAAAAAACGAGAAAATGGGAAGATTTGGCAACACTGAACCCAGATTTCTACAAGGCAACAGTGGGCTACCGCTGAGAGCAGGCTGCCCACTGAGGTGGGACCTGCCCTGTCCCTCACTTCCTTTACTTGCCTGGCCCCGGCGTTATCTCAGTGTACGATGTTTGGATTGATTAGTGGTTCTCAGCCCAGCATACCTGGACGAGCTTTTAGAATTCCAATTCTGGGGCCGTAAGCCAGACTAGGTTAACAGCTGTCTCTAGGGGTAGGGCCTAGATACAAGCACTTTAAAAATTTCCCCTGGTGATTTTACTGTGCAGGAGTCATGAGAACCGGCAGACTCTAGAAGCTCTCTAGTTTGAAAACTGACCTCAAGAAGCCCAAATGGGGGGTTCCTGCTCCCTACCCTCCTGCCCCTTAGGATCTCCAACCTCTTTCTCTCCCTCTGGAAACCCTAGATTTCCCCCAGACTCATCCCCATCAATCCTCTCGCTCACCTAGTGAGTTCTCACTTGGCAGGGCATCCACCTGGCCTCCCCCTGGGTTCAATGCTTTCTGGTTGGATCCAATCAATGTTCTGTTCTCACCAAGGCCTTATAGGGTTCAGAGCCCTCTCCTGGGTTCCCAGCCCCACCCACAGGGCAGCTGCTAGCCCCATACTCACCAGCTCCTGGAGGCCTCTGCTACGGAAGCAAGTCCAGGCTCGTTCCTAACACTCCATCTGGAGTGACACCTTCCAGGACACTCCTCTCTGGGCCTTCATTTGCATAAACACCAAAAGGCAACCTGTAAAGCAGAGTTCTCAAACCTGGCACTGTTGACATTTTGGGCCAGGTAAGTCTTTGTTATGGGGGCTGTCTTGTGCATTGAAGGACATTTAGCAGCATCCCTGACCTCTACCCATTAGAGGCCAGAAGGACTGCAATCCCTCCTGCTCCCCAAGTCATGACAACCAAGAGTCTCCAGACATGGCCAAGGGTCCCTTGGGGGCAAAAATCACACCCATTGAATCCCACTGCTGTCAAGTAATTCAAGGTCTCACTTCCTCTTAAGGCATAGATGAGATTTGCTAATATTCCGATTCTTACGGCACCCACATACCTGTACCTTCCCCAGCCTGTGTTCCCCGGGACCCCTGGTTCCCTTTACAGTAAATAGGTCTCTCTAATCCCACCCACCTCCAGTGTTCGTTACCACATCAATCAAGCACATCCTTTCACCCAGTTGCTCAAAAGCCTAGAAGTCTTTTTTGAGTCTTCTGATTCTCAGTTTCTATATCCAAGTGATATAGAAAGTCTTACAGGCTCTATGTTTAGACATATCTCAAATCCCTCTACTTCCTTCCATTTCCATTGTTGCTAATTTCCTTTATCATTTTTTTGTCTAAACTATTTCAATAGCCTCATTCTATCTTCTACAATCCATTCTCCTTCCTGCAGTCAGAGAAGCCTGCTTAAGAACCTTCAGTGGCTTTCCATTATTAGAATAAAACCCAAACTGCGTGTTAGGGCCTATGAGGCCAATCTGTTCCCAGCCAACTCCTTCAGCAACTCCTCATACTACATTTTCCTTATTACATTCCAGCCAGACTGGCTGCCTTTCCACTCCTTAAATATACCAAATGCTTTCCTCCCTCAGGGCCTTTGCACACACTATCCTCTCTGCCTATAACCTCTTTACCCCTGGTTTCCACAGGTGGTTTCTTCTCAAGCTTCAGATCTCATCTTAAGTGCCACTTCTGCAAACAGTCAC